GACCTCACCAAAGCTCACTCCTGATCTCCTGAGACTAGCAGTCGGAGGCAGCAGTGCCTTAGACCTCACCAAAGCTCACTCCAGATCTCCTGAGACTAGCAGTCGGAGGCAGCAGTGCCTTAGACCTCACCAAAGCTCACTCCAGATCTCCTGAGACTAGCAGTCGGAGGCAGCAGTGCCTTAGACCTCACCAAAGCTCACTCCAGATCTCCTGAGACTAGCAGTCGGAGGCAGCAGTGCCTTAGACCTCACCAAAGCTCACTCCAGATCTCCTGAGACTAGCAGTCGGAGGCAGCAGTGCCTTAGACCTCACCAAAGCTCACTCCAGATCTCCTGAGACTAGCAGTCGGAGGCAGCAGTGCCTTAGACCTCACCAAAGCTCACTCCAGATCTCCTGAGACTAGCAGTGAAAGGCAGCAGTGCCTATAGATCTCACACTGCAGATATACAGCTATGGGGTTCATGCACAGGAGTACCTAGGCACAGGAAATGCACTACTATTACTTCCCAGGAGGAATAAAAGGCAAAAGGTACATTTGTCAGGGAACAGATTGGGCTCAATTAACATTTCTGGATGTTTCCTATAAGATGGAAAGTTTTTAAATTCAGGTCCACGAGACCATTCTTTTCAGCGAGCCCAATGAGATTTGAAAATTGAAGTCACACTCCATTCTACAGTGGCACGTCCTGCTTTAGTCCTGATGGGTACATACAAAGTAAGGGTGACAACACTGTCATGAATTCACTAGTGGTGGGGTAATGTTCTCATCAAAGGAATTTGCAGTCTATGGACTTGGCTGGTAGGATCAACAGGTCACTTTGCAGTGATGTAAAGGAAGCATATAAAGTTCATATTGCACATTTGTTAAAACTTTGACCACAGGTCTACTGTAAGTACTAATCGGTCCTATCTATAGCAGCCAGTCAAAATTATATTAACGGCGTTCCAATTGGTTTCTGTAGGTTACTGCACTTAATTAGTAGCACACATAATTGAATATGGCTCATGAATTAACGGTTTCTTAAACACCCTTTGGTAAGATTGTAGATTATTTTATGTTTTTATTACAAAATGTAGTGATTCCATTTCACACAGCGCTAGTTAAATATTACATTTGAAGCTAAATACTGTTTTCACCAGGCCCGACAGTGCTGGAGGTTTTTAACACACTGTTAAGACATCTGACTCTTAGCGTGGACTTTGAATTGGGGGACCGAAGAAGTTCAGCGGGTAGTGCCAGGTCCAGTGCGACCAAAGAGAGCGACGAGCGCATCGTGCAGAATGCCATAATTCAGACGATCGGTAAGTAAGGTTCAACCGCCATCATTTGTTATTTAACGTTTTGGAGTTTGGGTGGTGTTAGGTTGGAGAGTCTAGCAAAACAAATGACAAACACACTCAACAATTTGTCACCAGCTATACAGTAAGGTGCACACGAAATTGTCTTTGAACAGTAAACAGTAGAAGGGTATCATGGCACACTCACAAACCAGCATGTAAAACAACTTGTCTCACCACTAAGGTTAATAACAGAGGTTTGGATACACGTCTTCTGCAGAAAATGTGAAAGCCGCACAGCCGTGCCAAGGCACCTCTTATAGTGCGGTCCTAACTCTAAACTATGAGAGTCTCAATCTTGGAGTACACGGGGGCAGAAGATTTCAAATTGGGTGCAGGTTTGTCAGGAGGAAGCCCAACCTCCCATTAAAGGCACAGGAACGCACAAGGGATCCCGCACATCCCAATGGCAGCTGAGATCCCCCATGCATCACTGCACCAAATCAGTCAAGCAAAACAAATGACAAACGCACTCAACAATTTGTCACGAGCTATACAGTAAGGTGCACACGAAATGGGCTTTGAACACTTTCTTGAATGGGCGAGGTGACCGTGCCTCCTCAAAGTGCGCATCAGCCTGTCAGTAAGACCTTTGTTTACCTTCTATATTCCCGTGTTAGGACAAACCTCCTGGCCTTTTTGTAGGCTTTTTTTAGGGTCAGGTTATCACTGCTGTGTCCTATAGAGGAGTAGCAGTCGGCGGGTGGAATTACAGCACCCTTCAGGGGATACACTGCCCTGGCACACCTGGAAGTGTCCGATAGCAGCAGTTGGAATTGACTTAACACCCTCTTATACTATCCTTGCCTACCTAGACTGCTTTGCCACTCCTTCCTTAATCACTACCAGCCCTGAAAATCACTGTTGGCAACCTAAGAAGAGTGGTCACATTATTCTGTTATGCATGTTACAATGTTAAAGGACAACTATGGGGTTAAGGCTTTTCCCCATAGTTCTCCTTAGGGTAACGGGAGGACACGAACTAGTGTCCTCCCGTCACCCTAGGCTTAGTATACTGCGAGCTGCTGCTCGCGGTATACTAAGACGCTGAAGCGGATCCCGACAATTATGTCTGGATCCGCCCAGCTGCGTGACTGACAGCTGGCTCTGCCTATCTAGAGGCAGAGCCAGCTGTACCCGCCCCCTCCCCCGTCCTTTCCGCCAGTCAGCGCTGGCGGATCGGAGCGGGGAGGGGGGGAATCCAGCCCCTCCCCTGTCACGGTGGAGAGCCATGACAGGATCGAGAGGTGAGCGAACACCGGTATGTGTCCGCTCACCTCCCAATCTACTGAGCCGACCTGTGACAGTCTCATTGTCACAGGTCGGGTAGAACTATGAGGTGAGTGAAAATCACTCACCTCATAGTTCTCCTTTAAAGCCTAGTGAATGGCTGTTGGGCCTGAGCACTGTTACGGGGAAGCAGGTCACATGCTCCCTCATAAGCGAAAGAGCTGGTTAGTGCCGCTGGTTGCGACAGAGTTCGGGCAAGGGGGTCAGAGTGGGTTGTTCTTTACAAAGATACTGTCACGGGCAAGAAGACGCTGTCTTTTTAGACCATCTCTGCTTCCATGATCGAAAATTAAAAAGAGGAAAAGAAACAGGACTGAGATTAAAGCACATATTAAAAGTAAAGTTGAAGCATAGCAATGCCAACAGAATTAGGCTTTCACGATTTTACTCTGTTCAGCAACTGTTTACTGTTCGTTTCCGAAGCTGAAGTTGCATCTGTGGAGGTTAGATGGTACTACTGATTGTGAACATTATCTGATCCCCAACCAGAAATTGCCAATTATATCTGATCTTGGAATGGGAAAAGAGAAAATTAAAGCCCCCGAATTAACATGTAATAACAGGGAAGCCAAACGTTGGCTTATCAAGTCAAGTAAAAAGTTTAGGCATCGGCTGCTATCGGGTACAGAAGAGGCTGGATGAGTTGTTTTTTTCAGAGATGCAACAGTGACATCTAATGTCAAAATGTTCTTTATTATCTCTGAAATACGGCTGCAGTTGGGGCTTGTCTGGCTTGCTTGGCAGGTTTGAACTTGTATCTCATTTTTTTCCAGGGTTTTTCGGAAGCAACTTACCGGACTACCAGAGGTCGGAGATCATGATGTTCATTATGGGCAAAGTTCCGGTGTTTGGATCTTCACATACACTCGACACAAGCCAGCTTGGGTAAGGGACTCTCCAAGCAATTCCAATTCTGCAAGATGCATTTTAAAGTAGTATTAAACTCTCAAACTGTTTTCAATAATGAATCTAGATCAAACAAATATACATCGCCCAGCAAAGTATTGCTTTACATTTTTGCCCAAGCACTTAGTCATCATGTTTAACCTCCCTGGCGGTCTGATTTAATAAAAAAAAAAAATTTCCGTTTTTTTTTTTCTTCTCCCCGTTATTTTTACTTTTAAAATTCCTGCCGGTTCCGCCCCTCTTGCTACACGGATGCTCGTAAGGGACGGAACCCGGAAGACGGATGTCGGCATCGGCCGGAGGACACAGCGCGGCTCGAGGGACAAGGTAAGTAACGCTACGCTGTAATCCCAAATGTGGCTCGGGGTTACCGCTTATGGTACTGAAAATTAACCCCCGAGCCACACTCGGGATTACCGCCAAAGAGGTTAATGGCTCCAACTCCAACAGCTTCCCTGAACTTCCTATCCAGTACAAGATCACAGGGACAGAGAAGTCTCCAGCAGCTGTCCATCTACTGTTTTGAAGGAAGAAGAGGGTGGTGGGTGAAGATAGTTGCAGGGTAAAGGTGTGTGTGTGTGCGCACACACCACTTAGTAGCACACACACACACAAGGGTGGCTCCATCGAATCAACCCTGCAACGGAAAGGAGCCACCCTAAAACAGGATATCAGGACCAGTGCTCAGGGGACCAGCTGATTGTGAAGGTACCTAAAACTTTTTAAACAAGGAGGAGCATCCATTGTAAAGGTGATACACTGGCCGAATTTTGGACGGTTTTTAATGTAGCGGCCGAAATTCGCACAGTGTGTGGGGCTGTCGGCTCCTTTTCAGCCAGCATTCCTCGATCAGCTTATCGAAGGAGCCGCCTGGAAAAATCTTCGTACGGAGGTACACCGGCACCTGTCAGAATACAGCAGTGATTCCTCAATCGACATGCTGTTTGTAAAACAAAAGAAAAAGAAGGGCGCCCACCCTAGTGCAGATGATTTTTTATTTTAAAAAGACACAAAATTAGAGTGCAAGGGTACTCGCAATGGTAGGCGGCGTGAAGAAGGGGGCATGACCCTGGAAACGCGTCAACGACGCCACATTCCAGTGGCACACAGGCTGATTGCAGTCCTGAAACTTATGTATCCTCGAAAACCACCTATACATGCTTTTGTTTGACCAACCATTGTGAGTACCCTTGCACTCTAATTTTGTGTCTTTTTAAAATAAAAAATCATCTGCACTAGGGTGGACACCCTTCTGTCTCTTTTGTTTTCCAGTTCCCCTGGCTAAAGTGGGGCAGCACCCCTAGCAATCCTGCACACACATTACTCAGCATCAGGATCCGTTTGCAGCGCTTTGGTTTCAATTTATTTGTTTGTTGACACGCTGTTTGTGTTCATGGAGGAATCGCGTCAATTTTTTCAGTTCAGCCCGCAGGTTAAACGAAAAAAATTGATAGGTGTATCGCCAGCTTTAGGGATCCAAACAGCATTTGAAATGGCTTAAAAACATTTTAACGTTAAGGTGTAAGTGGGCTTTTAAAAGTGCTGAAGGACTTTCAAAAAGTGCCACCCCAAAAGACTACCCTCCCTCCAGCAGAAGATGGCTTTTCTATTGATTCCTATTCCTGTGGTGTCCAGAGTGGAGCAGATGAAACGGCGAATACAGAAATATTGTATTCCTGTGAATGTAATGGGTTAATATCAGTAATAATAGTATTCAGTTTATGAATTCCTTTATTTCATATGGCTGTAGTGCATAGATATGTCCTGGACCCCCAGCACAGTTGAGCAGTACAGCCTGGTCTGGAACACACCCTCAGCTTATGGTAGAGGTTATAACTCTGCTCTTTTATTATTACAGTTATTTATATAGTGCCACCCATTTATGCAGGGCTTTACCTACTACACCAGGGGTAGCCAAACTCCAGCCCTCCAGCTGTGGTGGAACTACAAATACCATGAGGCATTGCAAGATTCTCACAGCCACAGACATGTCTCCCAGAGAGAGATGCATCATGGGATTTGTAGTTTAACCACAGCTGGAGGGCCGGAGTTTGGCTACCCCTGTCTACACATTCACATCAGTCCTTGCCCTCAAAGAGTGTACATCTAAGGTCCCTATTGGACACACATACAGGACCCATTTAACTTTCCAGCATGTCTTTAGAGTGTGGAAGGAAACCAGAGTACTCGGTAGAAAACCCACACTAGCACGGGGAATACATGCAAACTCCATGCAGATTGTGTCCTGACCAGGATACGAACTGAGGACCCCCCAGTGCCGCATTACACAACCATGCTCCTCTGTTGCCACCGCACAGACTTTGCTGCAAATAGTCTGGAAGGGGCAGCAAAGAGTATGCAGGAGACCAAGAGCACCAATGCTATTTTACGCTTTATAGTAAAGCCAGCTATTGCCTTGGAGCTTATCCTCACCCCTGAGGGCTAGTTCACACCAAGCATGTTCCAGGAGCAGGGCAGTTACAGACCGGATCAAAACTGCGTCCAATGTATTCCAATGGTATTTTGGGCTCTAGTTCACACCACAGCGTTCAGTTCCAGAGCATGTAAAAAAAAAAACTGCAGCAAGCCCTATTCTGCCTGCTCTGGAACGCATGCAAACGCATTAAAAACGCATGCAGACGCACTGAAAGCCCATTTTAAACTAAACTATAAAAAAAAAGATATTTTTTTTTTTTTACAAAAACGTGGCAAAACACACTGCACTGCGTGTGCAGAAATCTGGTCTGCATTTGGTGTGAACAAGCCCTGAAGGTAAACCCTACCCATGCCGCCATTCAACTTTCCAATGAACATACCTCTGCTGGTAGCAAAGACTTTGGTAAAATTTTATCTTTTTACATATTTCTTGTATCTTTTTATTTTTGGCCTCTTAACCAGTTTTATTATCTGAAGGTGTTGCTGAGCTTGTGCAAACTTCCGCACTGGCACACCGTGCAGACCGTAGCCAGACAGAAGTTCTATTTTTACATTGCGCCTGATACAGCATCTTCTGCATTGGATGAGACACTTTTATTAACGCTCAGATCCAGTCTACATGCACGTATGTCAGAGTGAGAAAGGGAAGCTGAGCGGCTCGTTCTCTGCGATACGTCTGACTTGGTGAAAGGTTTCATAGCCTTAAAGCACAAACGGAAGGTCTGCGTCTTTGCCAGCCCCCTGCCCCAACCACTTCCCCTGATAAAGGGATACTTGCTTTGCTTTCACTTGCTAGCTATTGGGGAACTGTAATGCTCAGCATGACCATAATTGTGGAACACCTGTGTAGGGCAGCGTTTCTCAACCTTTTTTCAGTCACAGCACCCTTAAAAAGTATGCAAAATCTTGATGCACCCCAGTCTAAAATGTGAGGAGGGACCCCACACAATAACACATGGAAAAGTGGGGGTCATTCCTTTGCATCGCAGTCCTCCCTTCCAATAAACCCCCCCTTTCACATCAGAATTCTCCCTTTCACATCAGTAGCCCCACTTTCACATCAGAATTTTCACTTTCACATCAGTAGCCCCCCGTTTACATCAGAAGCTCCCTTTACATCAGTAGCCCCCTTCATGTCAATAGCATCAGAAACCCCCTTTATATCCGGGCCCCCACTTCATATCATCCCCCCTTTAACATTACAGTTCCCCATTCTGTTTCCTACCATCACTAAATTTTGTGGTACCCCTGAGATAGCCAGAAGTCACCCCAGTGTGCAACGGCACCCTGGTTGAGAAAGGCTGGGGTAGGGTGATGCATGGGCATGCTGGGACTTGTATTTCTACAGCGGGGGAAAAAAAAGATCCATCTCCAGTCTTTGCTGTACCCCGTCACCCTCATATTATTTATGAAGTTGCTGTTGTAGATCTGATGTCTTGCAGTTAATGAGAAGTGTAATGCACCGATGTCTGTTACTATGGCAGCAGTCGCATGTTACCACGGCAACACGACATTCGCTGGGGCGCTTCGGGTAGACTCGAGCTTCATTGTTAAAAATCAGTAAGACAACTAATCGGATGGAACAAATGCAGAAAAGGCTTCTGATAGTTTTACTGGAGTAGCATATGACTGAGAACGTAAGACGGATTGTATCCTAGTGATGTGATGTGTGTGTACTAATGTAGTATGGAAAAGGCCCGGCGCAGCCATTGGCATAAGAGGCGCGGGTCATATGGGAAATGATTACGTTGCAGCTTCACCAAAGATTATATATCCCCCCTAATTGTCGGGATCTGCTTCAGCTGCGGCGTCTTAGTATACTACGAGCGGCAGCTCGCGGTATACTGAGCATAGGGTGACGGGAGGACACTAGTTTGTGTCCTCTCGTTACCATAAGGAAAACTATGGGGAAAAGCCTTAACCCCATAGTTCTACTTTAACGCCCCACTGAACATTGAACTAGCTAAATACATTAGGGCTGCAGCTAACGATTATTTTCATAAGTGATTCGTTGCCGATTATTTTTCCAACTAATCGATTGGTTGCATTAAAAAAAATCGCTAGTGCTCGCTCTCTCTCTCTACCCCCCCTTTCTCGCTCTCTCTCCCCCCCCTTCTCTCTCTACCCCCCCTTTCTCGCTCTCTCTCCCCCCCCTTCTCTCTCTACCCCCCCTTTCTCGCTCTCTCTCCCCCCCCTTCTCTCTCTACCCCCCCTTTCTCGCTCTCTCTCCCCCCCCTTCTCTCTCTACCCCCCCTTTCTCGCTCTCTCTCCCCCCCCTTCTCTCTCTACCCCCCCTTTCTCGCTCTCTCTCCCCCCCCTTCTCTCTCTACCCCCCCTTTCTCGCTCTCTCTCCCCCCCCTTCTCTCTCTACCCCCCCTTTCTCGCTCTCTCTCCCCCCCCTTCTCTCTCTACCCCCCCTTTCTCGCTCTCTCTCCCCCCCCTTCTCTCTCTACCCCCCCTTTCTCGCTCTCTCTCCCCCCCCTTCTCTCTCTACCCCCCCTTTCTCGCTCTCTCTCCCCCCCCTTCTCTCTCTACCCCCCCTTTCTCGCTCTCTCTCCCCCCCCTTCTCTCTCTACCCCCCCTTTCTCGCTCTCTCTCCCCCCCCTTCTCTCTCTACCCCCCCTTTCTCGCTCTCTCTCCCCCCCCTTCTCTCTCTACCCCCCCTTTCTCGCTCTCTCTCCCCCCCCTTCTCTCTCTACCCCCCCTTTCTCGCTCTCTCTCCCCCCCCTTCTCTCTCTACCCCCCCTTTCTCGCTCTCTCTCCCCCCCCTTCTCTCTCTACCCCCCCTTTCTCGCTCTCTCTCCCCCCCCTTCTCTCTCTACCCCCCCTTTCTCGCTCTCTCTCCCCCCCCTTCTCTCTCTACCCCCCCTTTCTCGCTCTCTCTCCCCCCCCTTCTCTCTCTACCCCCCCTTTCTCGCTCTCTCTCCCCCCCCTTCTCTCTCTACCCCCCCTTTCTCGCTCTCTCTCCCCCCCCTTCTCTCTCTACCCCCCCTTTCTCGCTCTCTCTCCCCCCCCTTCTCTCTCTACCCCCCCTTTCTCGCTCTCTCTCCCCCCCCTTCTCTCTCTACCCCCCCTTTCTCGCTCTCTCTCCCCCCCCTTCTCTCTCTACCCCCCCTTTCTCGCTCTCTCTCCCCCCCCTTCTCTCTCTACCCCCCCTTTCTCGCTCTCTCTCCCCCCCCTTCTCTCTCTACCCCCCCTTTCTCGCTCTCTCTCCCCCCCCTTCTCTCTCTACCCCCCCTTTCTCGCTCTCTCTCCCCCCCCTTCTCTCTCTACCCCCCCTTTCTCGCTCTCTCTCCCCCCCCTTCTCTCTCTACCCCCCCTTTCTCGCTCTCTCTCCCCCCCCTTCTCTCTCTACCCCCCCTTTCTCGCTCTCTCTCCCCCCCCTTCTCTCTCTACCCCCCCTTTCTCGCTCTCTCTCCCCCCCCTTCTCTCTCTACCCCCCCTTTCTCGCTCTCTCTCCCCCCCCTTCTCTCTCTACCCCCCCTTTCTCGCTCTCTCTCCCCCCCCTTCTCTCTCTACCCCCCCTTTCTCGCTCTCTCTCCCCCCCCTTCTCTCTCTACCCCCCCTTTCTCGCTCTCTCTCCCCCCCCTTCTCTCTCTACCCCCCCTTTCTCGCTCTCTCTCCCCCCCCTTCTCTCTCTACCCCCCCTTTCTCGCTCTCTCTCCCCCCCCTTCTCTCTCTACCCCCCCTTTCTCGCTCTCTCTCCCCCCCCTTCTCTCTCTACCCCCCCTTTCTCGCTCTCTCTCCCCCCCCTTCTCTCTCTACCCCCCCTTTCTCGCTCTCTCTCCCCCCCCTTCTCTCTCTACCCCCCCTTTCTCGCTCTCTCTCCCCCCCCTTCTCTCTCTACCCCCCCTTTCTCGCTCTCTCTCCCCCCCCTTCTCTCTCTACCCCCCCTTTCTCGCTCTCTCTCCCCCCCCTTCTCTCTCTACCCCCCCTTTCTCGCTCTCTCTCCCCCCCCTTCTCTCTCTACCCCCCCTTCTCGCTCTCTCAACCAACTAACCGATAATGAGAATAGTTGCCAACTATTCTCATAATCGATTATTATTGATTAGTTGTTTAGACCTCTGCACAGAGACCACTGCTTTCACACAGAGAAGAACGGGTGGCAGGGGACAGGATTTTCTACTCGGGTTGTAAGACTTTGCACACCTTTTTATCTTGTTGCACCTGGGATTTATTTGGCTAGTGTGACGTGAATGTTGTGCAACTTTAAGAAAACAAAGGGGTATTCTAAACGGGTGACCGAGAGGCCGCACATTAAACATAATAGCCAGAAATCCTTCCTGCAGATATTCTCATTTTCTTTTTTTGTTTGCTTGGTCTGGATTTATCGCTTGTCCTTGCAAGAGTGATGTCTGTATACATGGTGTGTAATATGTGTTCTTCTTCTGTTATTACAGGGATTTGGGAACAAAAAGGATCCAGATTATGCTGCTGAGGTCACTGCTCATGGTAAGTATGGGCTGTCTGATTTATTTCTTCTTTTCAATATAGAATATATAGATTATATTATATACTGTGTATGGATGGACATGGATGGATGGACAGAGATGGATGGATGGACAGAGATGGATGGATGGACAGAGATGCAGAGATGGATGGACAGAGATGCAGAGATGGATGGACAGAGATGCAGAGATGGATGGACAGAGATGCAGAGATGGATGGACAGAGATGGATGGAAAGCGATGCAGAGATGGATATATTTTTTTATTTTATTTTTTTATTGGACATGTTCACAGACATCCTGTAGACTTGAATGTGCCGCTCCTGCTGTTGAACGGGTATGTTCCAATTAAGATTTAGGAGACATTAGTAGGCAGGGGCTGCCAGCTTTGCACTAGCTCTGTACAGGGCGGGCTGTAGACAATGCAGGAAGCCACTGCCATTATATGATGCAAGTAGGTACCATGTGTGGAGAGTGGGGGGTCAGCTTAGCCTAGTTAAGGGGGCTGGGGCCGGGTATATTTATTACAATACTATACTTGCCCTTTTTAAATGAGTAAATTTCATTGTAGTGACATGTACTGCTTATACGGTTTGTCTTACATGGACTTTGCAAAGGCTGATGTTGATATTTAAGACTGTTAATGTTTTGAGTGGGCCGTTGATTGGCAACCTCGGCACTCCAGCTGTCCCATGATGCATTGCTAGACTCTGATGGCCACAAGCATGATGGGATGTGTAGTGTCACCACAGCTGGAGTGCTGTGGTTGCCTACCCCTATAATAAGGGTATGGGGGTTGCTATTGCTAACCTGTCCTTTTTAAAATATAATTTTCCAGACCCCGTTCTTGTAACCAGTTCCTTGCTGCCTCAGGCTTGGTTCACACCTGCGCATCCCGGCCTGGTTCACGTTTACTTCCCGCCCCATTGAATTCGATGGGGTCATACATGCGTGGCAAAAAGGCTCCTGCACTATTTTGTGCGACACGTGGGACGAAGTTTTTTTTTCCTTCTGCGCATTGCACTCGCGACTTGCCAACCGTGTTTGCGGTGTTGTTAGGAATGCATTGCACCGCATGCGCGTTTCCGCAAATGGAACACGCAGGTGTGAACCAGTCCTTTAAGACTTAATTAGTGATGCCCACTGCCATTTGTGACTCAATGCACTGATGCCCCCCATGCCGATCAGAAGTTTTGAGCTACTTATGACTTTATTGAGCTGCATAGTTGCTGGGTCAGTGATTCCAACCAGACACAACCAAGCAACTAGCATTTTCAAAAGGAGGCCAGTCATGACATCCTCCTCTATACATTTGTGCGGTTGCTTTATTTATTGGGTATATTATACCTGATTTTTCCTTTTTCGTCTGACAGGTGACCTCGGGTTATAAAGCGAAGACCATAGCGGCCGCCCTCCCCTCGCCATTTCTGGATCCTCTGCTCTCGCCGTCGCTGATGGAAGATTCGGACCTGCGCCAGCTAGTGCTGGAGATTCTGCACAATCTTATAGATCGTCATGACAACCGAGCAAAGCTGCGAGGCATCAGGTACCCCACTGATCAAAGCACACTCGCTGACCTCCTGTCTGTTTTCTTTTGCAGGACTCTTTTTTTTTTTAAATATATGCACACATATATATTTAAAACACGCAGTCCTATAATGCGGGGGATAAAAAAAAGCAAGGTCCACATAATATATCGGCACCCCTTCCCCCATACTAAATAGCATCATGAAGGCAAATAAAAAATGGGGAAAAAAGTTAGTGTATATATACTTCTGGCTCCTGAAATGCAGGAAGTGAGATCCCAGCGAATGGGATCTGTGTTGGAGCATCCGCATGCTCTCTGCTTTAAAGTGAGCCTAAACTCAGGAGTTCAATCTTTTAAAATGCATTCAAGTACCTGAACTATTACCAAAAATGTATCTTCTTTGTGTATCATTCGGCTGTAGATCCTCAAATCATCTCTGAATTGGTGCTGACACTGTCCTTCCTTCTGGAGGGGGGCTATTTTTGTTCCCCATGGTCCCTGTGTGTGTTGAAAAGTAGTCACCACCCCTGTGATAGACTACAATCTAAGTACAAATATTAAACTAAAGGAGAGGTTGTAGTCCATCACCAGAGCAAGGGACCATGGGGAACGAAAGTAGCCCCCCTCCAGAAGGAAGGACAGTGTCGGCACCAATTCAGAGATGAGTTGAGGATTTATAGCGGAGTGGTGCACAAGGTTACAAGGTACATTTTTGTTGATGGTTAAGGTACTTGAATGCATTTTTAAGATTGAACTCCTAGTTTAGTGTCTCTTTAACACCAATATATTTAAAGGGAACCTGTGGAGATAGAAGTACAGCAGCTGCTATTGCTAAACTATTTAGGTGCAGGCTTGGGGGCCTCCATAATGATCCTGGATTCTCTTTTTATTAAGTTACTTGAACAAGAACAGGTCCAGCTGAATGTGACAAACTACTACTAGCTATATTGTCTATCATATGTATAAATGGGATCCAAAATGTAATGTGTTCTCTCCTTGATGTTTTTTTTTTATATATATTGGTTTGCATTGAAATTACATCTTCTGGTTAAAGTGAATCTTTGGTGGCACACATTCTGACCACCATACAAATTTTCATCTTGCTCTCTGCTTTAAAGTGACACTAAACTCAGGAGTTAAATCTTCAAAATACATTGTAGTTCCTTAACTATGAACAACAATGTATCTTATTTGTGTATCACTCGGCTGTAGATCCTCAAATCGTCTCTAAATTGGCGCTGACACCATCCTTCCTTCTGGAGGGGGGCTACTTTTTGTCCCTGTGTGTGTTGTAAAGTAGTCACCGCTCCAAGATCTCTCCTGTGATGGACTACAATCTCAATACAAATATAAAACTAAAGGAGAGATTATAGTCCCATCATCTTGCCTCTGCCTCTGGGGGTGATGCCTGTGGCTGTAAGCCTATCAGTGCCTTATGGGACTTGTTCCACCACAGCTGGAGTGCCGAGGTTGCCCACTCCTGCTATAAATGGAGGGCGCCATGGTGACACCCACTTTGTCCCTGTTCAAACCTAGGTGTGTTGACGCTTAAAGCTAAGTTTTATACAAAACTTTCAGCACAACAAATCCCATTCATGTTAATGACCCCCCTTCACACCTGAGCGTTGTCACAAGCTGTATAACATGGAAATGCTGTAAAAAGTACATGAGCAAAAATGTGTCAAACTCTAGGCGAGAATGCGCAAAAATGCTCATGCTTAGGTGTGAACTGAGTCTTGGTCCCCAAATACACCTAGGCATTTTCTCGCTCAAAGTCAATCGTGACAAAACGCTCAAGACTTAAAAATCCAGTTAATTTCTATGGCCCTTGTTCACACCTGAGCGTTTTGTCGTTCAAAGTTTTCCATTGAAGCGGGACTTCCATAGAAGTTTTTTTTTCTTCCCATGAAGTCTATAGGACCAAAGAGCATTGTAATCTGCCAAAAAGTAGCTCATGTACTTTTTCCAGCGACAGGCCTTTCTGCTTTGTAACAAAACGCTCAGGTGCGAACAGTGACCATAGAAATGAATGGGATTCCTTATTTTGGCGTGCCTACCTTTTTGAGAAACAAAACACCTGGGTGTGAATGGGGACTAAGGTGGTGAGACCATGACACCCATTCGTTCTTAGTATATCCTTAGTCTTCCCAGTGTCGTTTAACATCCTGGTTCTCAACCTCTGTAAACGCAAAAACTGACAGTGCTGTGCTAGGGGGAGGTTGGGGAGCGTCTCACCTAGCACAGTGGAAGGCACACGGCAACCCACTGAACATGGGGTTGCAACCCACTTTCGGGTCGCGACCCATCAGTTGAGAACCACAGGTTTAACTCAAGAGTGAGGACATCTTGTGGTGAAATAAAAGTATTGCATGGCAGCTCTGGATTGAAGGTAAGCATTGCAACCTGAGCTGCTTTTTCTTGTTTTGTAGCCTGCATGGCAGCCTTTTTTTTTTTTCTTTTTTTAAATAATGCTTTTTATTTAAGACATGATACAGGTACAGACGGCAGTCGATTCGTGCTACATTCTTGCAACAGTGTGCATAACAACTGGCATGTGAATAATGTGAAACCTCGCGCCACTACTCTAATCAA